AAGCAATAAGGCACATCCTAGGATAACCACTATATTGGACCTAGAGAAAAATTAGTTCAGATTTAAGCAGAAGAAAAAAAAGAAGGCGAGACAGGAGGCCTCAGGAAAAAAATACAAAGAAATTTATAGTTTATTTGACATATGTTAGCATTTGGAAAGATTCCTTATAGGTATTTGCCATATCTGTTGATGCATTTGAAGAAAAAATAGAAGGCAAAGCAAAGAAAAAAAGATAAAATAATTGGCTTTAAGAAAACTTGTATGAGAAGGGAAATAATCACAGTGTACCATTTGGTTCGATGGTGAACAATCATTTACATGAAAATTGAAATACTGTCTGTTGATTTTACATCAAAATCCTATAGTGAGGAAAATGTGGGATGTAATAGAGAAGAACAAAAATCTTCATTTTAAGCATCCTGTGTGAAACTGATAATATAAAAATGGTAGTATAAACATATTATTTAAAACTATGAAAGTAAGTCCAGGTACAGTGGCCCATGCCTGCAATCCCAGCACTTTTGGAGACAGAGTCAGGAGGACCGCTCAAGGCCAGGAGTTTGAAACAAGCCTGGGCAACAAACCGAGACCCCCCAATCCTCTGCTTATATCTACATGAAATTTTAAGTTAGCTGAGCATGGTGGCATCTGACTGTAACCCCAGCTACTTAGGAGGCTGAGAGGGGAGGATCTGTTGAGCCCAGGAGTTCACGGCTATAGTGAGGTATGATTGTGCCACTATATTCCAGCTTGGGTGACAGAGCAAGAACCCATCTCTAAAACAAAAGGAAATAAAAACCAAAAGTAAATATCAGAAGAAATAGCAAAAAGAGTTTAAAATAGGTGAATGGTGAGGCAGGGATTACTGATTATAAGTAATTTGGCATTATCTGATTTTTTTTTTTTTTTTTTTTTTTTTTTTTTTTTTTTTGAGACAGAGTTTCACTCTTGTTGCCCAGGCTGGAGTGCAATGGCGCGATCTCGGCTCACCGCAACCTCCACCTCCTGGGTTCAGGCAATTCTCCTGCCTCAGCCTCCTGAGTAGCTGGGATTATAGGCACACACCACCATGCCCAGCTAATTTTTTGTATTTTTAGTAGAGACGGGGTTTCACCATGTTGACCAGGATGGTCTCGATCTCTCGACCTTGTGATCCACCCGCCTCGGCCTCCCAAAGTGCTGGGATTACAGGCTTGAACCACCGCGCCCAGCATGATTTTTAAACTATGTGCATGTATGGCGCTAGTAAAAATATAATATCTAAAAAGAATACAGAATCAAATAAAATGATACCAAAATATGCTTAATATCATTTTAAAACATATCTGTAAATGTTAGTTCTTTCCTAAATGTAGCACTGATATGTTTTGGCTCTGTGTCCCCACCCAAATCTCATGTCAAATTATATTCCCCACATGTCAAGGGAGGGACCTGTAATCCCCACGTGTCAAGGAAGGGAGGTACTTAGATCATGGAAGTGGTTTCCCCCATGGTGTTCTCGTGACAACGAGTTCTCACGAGATCTGATGATTTTATAAGTGTTTGACAGTTCTTCCTTCACATGCTCTCTCTTGCCTGCTGCTGCATAAGACGTGCCTGCTTCCTTTTCGGCCATGATTGTATGTTTCTTGAGGCCTCCCCAGCCATGCGGAACTGTGAGTTGATTAAACCTCTGTTCTTTATAAATTATCCTGTTTCAGGCAGGTCTTTATAGCAGTGTGAAAACAGACTAAGACAGGCTAATGCTAAGACATTGATACTTTATATAGCCTTAAGGAAACACATAAATTGATTATATATATATATATATGTATATATATATATATATATATATATATATATATATATAGCATTAGCTTCATGGTTAATAGCAGTTAAAGACAAAAATCAATGTAACAGACACATTAATATTCAGCTAATGAGTTTAAGGTTAATTGACTAACAACAGTGGCAAAAAAAATTTATGTAAAATCTATTTCTATAGAAATGTAGAATCCAGAAACATGACCATGTATGTCTTGATGAAGATGCTAGATGCAGCATTCTGGCAGTATCTGAAGACTGAATCACAAAATCTGCTTCATTTTGTGGATGCACCTAAAAATTTGGGCCAAAGGTGCAGCATTTAGAATCTACAAGGGAGAGGAGGAGGCATTAGGAGAGAAAGAACAAAATAACATAGGAAAGAAAGATTAAGAACTTGATTAGTATGAAGAAACAAGCCACCTTGACTGTGTTGTGTTACTACTATTACTACCGCGAGTAGTAAGTGAACTAGAATTGTATCGTTAAGCAAGGAGATGCTAGGCTATTCTTCAGCAGGAAAACAACACTCAAAAGGCTATGAATTCTGAATTAGCAACCTTCCTGGAGAGGAAGATGACAAATGATTACCAGGCGTGAAATTCCCATCCGTATCTCATACTGGTTTTCTGAAAAACGAAATTAAGGTGGCATATAGAAATTGGTGTAAGTTTTAAAGAATTACCTGATGATATGTATGCCATTGATCTTATTCCCATTAACTAACAGATTTGAAACATGTCTACAGGGTTTTAGCGGTGATTAAATTTATGTTTGTTATTGGCATTACTAAAGCACAGTGGAGTAATTTATACAACTACTGCAAACAATTAGAAGGCACAAATTATTTTTAGAGCAAAAATGCAGGAATACTAAAGTCAACCGCCCCTACCCAGTTATCCTTAGTAATGAATGACTTGGAAAAAATGACTTTGTAAATGTCAACTAAATTATATAAAAGAATAAAAAAAGATATTTATAAATACTTTCTCAATTAAAATTTTTAAATAAAATTAATTAAAATGATTTAATATTTTCACAATATGGTAGATGAATTATGTCATATTGCTATTCTTTACAGTTTGGATATAACTATTGTGTGAACAGGTTTCAGTAAAAGTCTACCTTATAGTTCATGTGTGATGAAAATAATATATAATTGGTTTAAATAACCATCATATGAGAGTATATAAAAAAGCAGATATTCCTCCCCTGCCCCATTCAATGTCACCACTTGTCTGTGATTTTAATATTCTGTGTGTGTCTGCTCATCTGTTACAAATATATTGCACTTATATAGCATTGTTCTATTTATTTCAAAAGTGACAAAATGCACTGTAATTTTTTAAACTAGCAATTACTATAGACATCTCTTCTGATCTATGCTTTTCAGTCACTTAAATAGCTCGTAATATTGATGTGTTATAATGTTTTGACCATTGCCCTACTGAGGGACATTCAGAATATTTGCAGTTGTTTACTATCATATTAAAATTAATCTCCTTTTACATGTATGTATATATATTGCTATTTTATTTCTGTAGATATATTCATAAAAGTAGAATTTGCTAGATGATTAAAAATATATAAAATCATCATATTATCATCATTACTATTGAATAGGTAATACCTAAGCATGGTAAAAAGAAAACATTCTAAAAGGAAAATGGAATATAAAAACAAAGTCTATTACGCACTGATTCCTGTTATGTTAGAAAAGTTTGAAGAGTATATCATCTAACATACATACTAACTCAGAAGACTGAATTATGATAATCATTAATGAGTGAATAGATATACCAGAGACTATCTTGGTATCAAATATTCAAATAAGTTTTCTTACTGTATTTCAGTAAAATGTCTGTGGCAGTTTCTTACTTCATAGGCATTTAAATTGGTCAGCTCCATCACTTAATAGATTCTGAAAATTGATATTTTATAGATTAAGGATAGGCAGACTTTTTAAAAAATCTGCAAATTTTGTAATTGTATTGCTCTTCCTATACAAAATAAGACTAAGAATCCAGATGAACCATTGATAACTATTTACTGGCAACTAGTCTCAAGATAAATGCTTAAAGGAGTTGCCTAGAAAAAACAAAGACTTCCCTAACCACTCCCAACCCTCAGGGTCACTATATGATAACAATGAATAGTAACTGGAATGCATGCTTACTGAGGGCTGGCATTTTTATTTTTCCTACTGTATCCCCCAGTGGCTAGAGTAGTGTCAGAGATAGAGACTCAATAAATACTAATTGATTGCATATTACTCAAATTTAGCAAAGAACTTGAGGACATGGGCTTTTAAATTATCTGATTCCAACACTTAAGCAAGGAAGAGCTAAAAAAGCATTAGCTCTAAACGGTAAACATAAAAACAACTGAAAGCAAGTAACATAATGCAAGGGTAACTTGTTAGAAGTAATGTTATACATATCATGTAAATCAAACATCACATCCAAGTCTTGTTCTACTTCCTAGTTTTAGTGTTTTGGCTTTCACAGTGCTAGGGGGTTAGCTAGTCTGTTACCAGAAGTATCTTGGCATCGTGACATATCAGAGGTACATAATTCAACTCAATTCACACATAAAACAAGAAAAAAAGAGAGAGACAGAGAAACTGTTAGGAGACTCAGAGGCACATTCAATGGTGAGACACCTTAGGGAAAGTGAAGAGAGCACTCTCATGGTTTGGCAATATTAACTGCAAGTATTGACTGATTTCTTAAGGTCCTTTCTACCGTTTTGATTCCAGAAAAACAAAAAAAAAATGGCCTGATAAATTGGTTAACATTTTGCCAAACAGAAGTGATTAGTTGCAGGATTATTTTCCTTCAAAATTATGTAAAATTGGAAGATTTTTTTATTTGTATGCATTTTTTTTTGTCACCAGTGGCAATGAAAATAGAGCAGTGAAACTTGTAAATTAGGGCCATTAATAATACTTCCAAAAGTAAAAACAAACAAACAAACAAACAAAAAAAACCAAAAAAAAACCTAAATGTTTCCAATTAAAAGTAATGATTGGGTATCTGTAGCTATGACATGAATCTGATTTGATAGACTGTATTTTACATTGAGTATAATGACTAATACTACAAAAGGGAGCTATAACTAGTAGAAAAATAACTCTAAGGTTCTGCTGTTTTGGAATCATGAAATTATTTGACTCACAAAAAAATGTGCTTTCAAAATCTTTTGAAACAATTTTTCTGAAATTTATTTCTAAAAGTCAGAGACAAAACTTTAAAAGTGACACGTTTATACTAAAGATACATGCGTGAGCAAAAAAAATCAGCACGGAATACAAAAATGAAATAGTAAAATTTTAATTAATACAGTATTCTGAATACAAGTAGAATGCCACTAGATACGAACTGTATTTCCTAAATCTATGAGAGTATGAGTTGAGATAAACCAAAGTTTAGGATAGCCACTTCACTATTCACATTTTAATCAGTGCTGCCAGAAGCTAAAGCACTTTCTTTTAGGCTAAGATTTTCAATAAAATCATAGACCGATCTTTCTTGTTACGAATCAAATGAACATGTTTGAAGGTGATTTGTCCTCATTTAATGGCAGTTGGTGTAAGTCAAACCACAGAGAGCCCTTACAGAGACTAAGCACCAAATGATGAACTGTTTGTGGCTTTTGTTTTGGGCCATCTTAAGTTTTATTTTGTGTTTTCCATTAACATTCATGTGCAAATTCTTACAGGCAAAAGTTTTAACATGGAAGTTTCAGCTTGGTGATCTTGCCAACTGTACTTACAATAGTTTTAAAGCAACTGATACTTTCAGAACAATCTCAAGTTTAATTGGTTAACATTATAAGATGCAGAACTTTTTCTTTAATGTTTTCTGGTCCCTGAAAATTCAATAGGGCCAAATGCACTAACTGGAAAGAGCATTTTTAAAAGTCTTAATCGAAGATGATAATGGATAAAACAACTATATAGGCTCTCATACACAATCTTTCTAAATTTTCACCCTGTAAGAAATGATTACAATGTCCTTCAGGCTTGTTATATATCCCCACAGAATCAAAAAGAAAGCCAACAAAGAATTTAACATTTCAACAAGATAGGAACTATTTACTGTAAGCGTATCGTGAAATTCTGGAAGACATACTATCAATACTTTGAGAAAACACTATTAACATGTGTTGAAGAAGGCAGTTTATAAATGAAACATTACAAATCTTATGTTTATGCATACAACTTACAAAATAGAAAAAAAGTTGCTACTTTTCCAATAGGATAGCATCACACTAACACTATATAGTTAAGATCGAAAACTTCTGTACACACGTTCACTACACCTCCAAAGCAGCGTATGCCTCTTAGACATCTTCATTTGTTACTTAACATATGCCAATCATTGTTTCAGGGATTTGTACCAGTTTGAGCAGGCTAAAGCAATCATTCTGCCTTAACTTTAGACAAAGCTAACTATTTTCAGGGAACAAAAGTTTCATAATCAATACAGAAACATTAATACCAAATTCCCACAACAGGATGGAAAACATTTCTAAGGAGAGGATATAATCCTAACAGAATGGACTATACCCCTAGGTACAGTGAATGTGGGAATTAGGAGTCTGAAAAAATACATTAAGATATACAAAATTTAAGTGATTATCAAATCAGTAGTAACTACTAGAAACTTAAATATGAATTACTGATGTTTTTCTAATGCAACATCATCCAGTTTACTGCTTAGGACTACTTTCAAGGCTGATCTGTCATTACATTTTGCCATTAGTGCAAATTAATACCCAAACAATAGAGAGCAGTTTGAATCACATGGAATTAAAAAAAACAGAATGATTGTATATCTAACTTTTTATATTCTGAAAATAGTGCTATAAAACTCAATTATTCCTAGCTTCTAAAATCTTCTACCATAATTAAACATGGTTGCCCGCAAATTCTTTTCCAGAGGAAGTAAACGCAAAACACATTACGATTATGTTTTGCTGCTGGTCTCCTCTTACATGTGCTTCATCAGTGAGAGCACTACTCTAGGCATGCATTTATCATACTACTTTAATGTAACTGAACATGAGCAAAACGAATAGTTCACATTTGGTAAGTGATTTGTTTTGGTGGCAGGCTTAATTTTAAATGAAAACAAATCTCTAAAATCAAATGGCCAGTTTGACAACCTGAATTAGAACTTAAATCTGTAAAAAAATCTTAACACATGGAAAGCAGTTTCTGAAAAATACACAGTCTATTTTTCACTTTGGCTTTTTCTTTTATACAGGAAGATTATTGGTGAAAATCAAAAGATAACTCCTAGTCACATAGGGCATCGTTTATCACTGCTTTGTAATAGAAATATATATTTTTAACTTGAATTTCAAAGAATTTAAGATTTTTTTTTTTTTTAAATTAAAGCTCTAGTCCAAGTTTCCAGCTGTTAATTTTTTAAAAAATATAATTTGGGTCTCTGATAGAGAGAACGTAGCTGGGCTAAGCTACTTGGATAATCTTACAGGATAGTGAGGTTCAGACAGAGATCATTTCCTGAACACAGTTGACCTTTAAGAGAACGATTTCCTCACTCAAATAGTTATGCAGGATACTGCCAGATCTCCATTACAAAAAAGCCTGCCAGAATTTCTAGACAATTGTTTACCATCCATGTTAAAAACCTTGTACCACCAGAGGCAAAGCAGATAAAATAAGTCAACTTGTTTCTAGTCTAGACTACCTAAAAAAATTCCTAAAATCACATGGAAAAATTAATGAATAGAAAGTAACTTTATCTGATCTGTCAGCCAAAAAAACCACTATTAATTCTCCATAAAAAGAGAAAACTCAACCATAAATGTCTACCTGTTTAAATAAAAATGCCATCTTGGAAGTCTTTTAACACCAAGACAAAGAAAAGTTTGCAAATTCAAGATGATGCTTAAAATGAAAGCTATGGTTCAAAATTTGTATTCATAGTAAGAGACTAAAATCTTGTCACTGCAAAATTCCCTTTGGCTTTTGGTATCGACATTGAAAGATTTTAGTCTTTTGGTCACTTGAAGCTGCTACAAAATACAACAATGAGCCTTTAAAATGGGGGCATGGGAAATATAGAATTGAAGGATAGTTAACTACATCATATACAAGTAAAACATAGTTTGAAATACAACACAGTCATTTCTGCTAGGGATCTGAAGATATAAGAAGTTTCCCACTATCCTTTCCTTTTTGAAGAGGATCCTCTAAAGAAATAATTCCTTTAAGTTACTGTTAAGTGGTAGTGCCTGGCAGCAGCTTCAATAGGCTAGTCTTCAATCCAAGTAATTAAGTAATCTCACAAGGAATAATCACATGGCAACAGGGTAAAAAAGCAGGGCAGTTCTTCCATGCACAAACATTTCAGGAGAAAAACCATCAATTTTAAAGATAACCATCGGGTTTCAGGTATCCTAGTACACTCTAAACCTAGGTTTTGCTTTATACCATTGGTGACTAAACATTAAGTTTTGCAGTGAGGTGTTTTTTTTCCTGCCTGCAACTATATACACATTGCAAAACTATTCTGCATCACATGATTTTAAATGAAATAAATATAAAAATGAACCACACAATCAACACATAACTTTAATACTCCACATGTATCTTGATCACAATGGTGGTAACCTTCTAGTCAACAATCTTGTGAGTTGAGGAGTTGATTCTCATTCTCATATCCGTCAGGCAGATATGCTCTCCGTAGCTGGTCAGACTTAGGTATGGAGCCTCCGTTCTTCACATGGCGAGATAGGAAAGCACGGACTGCTGGGTGATCAGCCTTCTCAAGTGGGATGTTGGCTTCCAGGCACATTTTCACAAAGTCCTGGATAACACTGACTTTCTCTGTTTGCGCAGTACTGTTGCACTGAAGAGATGCAGTTAGGGGCCTCTGCTTCTTTCTCACATTCTGCTCTTCAAATTCTGCCTTCCTCTTGGTATGAGTCTTTGACTTGAGGTGGTCACTAATGGCAGACTTGCGAACATGATTCAGAACCACATTGCAAGAAGTGCAGAAGAGTTTTCCTCCATCTTCATGCAGCTCACCTCCAAACTCGGTGACTCGATCCAGGGGAGTCACATACAAAGCAGTCTTAGAACGGTTTCGAGCAGGTGGTGCTGTTACTACAAATCGCTCCATTCTGACTCTAAATAAATATGGTTCTTTCAAGACAAAAGAAACAAAGATAAGTGTTATAACAACAGTTCATTCTCAAATTAACAATAAAAGGCAGTAGATAAACACTTTAAAGACTTCAACAAACTTAGTTCAAATTGGTAGTGTGTCTACTAATCTTAACTTACCCAAAATATACAAGGAAAGGCAAAACTAGAACAAGTTACTAACCGGTTATACTCAGGTCCATTCCTTGATTTTTATGAAATTCAAATAAATTAGAACTATAAAGAAAGAACTCAAACTAACCCAGATGCCACTGTTATTCAGGGAAACCTAATCACAGGTCAACATTTAGGGTATAAATTATATTACTCTCATCCAATTTAGATATGTATTCTAGTTTAAAAGAACTTCTTTCCTGTCACAATTCTGAGACGACTGATTTTAGGAACATAACTGTGGACAAAGTTTTTTCAAACAGGTGGGCCTATAAACTGCCGTAATTCTACATGAAGATTCGAATATAATTTCAAAAATTGTTTTGAGTAAAGCTACAAAAAAACCCCAGACCAAATGCAATGAACAGCAACAATGATATTAAATTATAAAGCCAAAATAGAGTTCAAAGTAAGTTATTTTGTAATGCATGTATACCTGTTTTCCAAAAGGTGTTAAGATATGCAAAGTCGTATTTCTCTAATACTTCTGTTTCCTTTTTCAATTAAAATTAATAATTACATTTGTTAATATTTCACTGATTAGTAAGAACAAAATCAAGAACATAGTGTCTAGTATACAGCAAAACCTCAATTAAAAAAGTTGATGGAAAAAGTAAATGAGTATTTTCACTATTTGTCCAAATATTTATACTTATTTAATGTAGAAGCAGCTTAGTAATTTCCCAGCGTATCCTAATAATATACTTTCATGATCACAGCACTAAGTAACAAAATCACAGCCTTATGGGCATCGAAATCTTAAGATAAGGAACATACTTTGGTAGGTGAAAATCATCATTAAGTCTTAATTGTTCTCTGGGGCGTATCATACCTTTAGGCTCTTATAATAACCAACACTTAAGAGGTTAAAGTGAATCTTATAGAATTCAAGGTGGAAATCTGTCTGCATAAATACGTTAGATAATTCTAAGTGTGCTCTGAAGAAGTATGCTTTATAAGTGTAATCAGAAACGATGGAGTATTTCATGAATACATACTAAAGAATAGCTGGGTAACATGAACTCTTTCAAAAGAACTTTAAATTGCCAGTGTATCAGACATCATGGATCCCAAAAATTAAACATTTCACAGAAATTCTGAAAAGTACAATAAAGTCTAGGTTTTAACAGATTTCATTTCCTTTTTTTAAGTGCACAACTCTCATTTGCCAAATGCTGTGTTAGGCTACAGGTTTGCAACGGCAGAGAAAACAGTTATGATTCCTACCTAGTACTTACCGTTACACGTTTATACTTTAAGTAAATGGTATGTGTTTTACACTCCCACGACAAATCAGTACCAATTACTACGATTAATGGTTCTAACCTAGTTGTGATCAACGTTAAGTATTTGTGTCCTGTAATGCTTAAATCTTACTATGTAAAAAGTCTTGTATCTTTCAATACTTGGATTTCAAAAACAGTAACTAAGCATATAATTCTTTGTAGCATAAAATGCTCAATTATTTCTGCTAATGTGAAAGGCCTGTATTTTCCAATGATTTTGTAATTTCAAAAAGTCTGTTTGTGTTACTGCAGAGGCAAATTTCCACCCAGTAGAGGTTGCTGGGGTTTACATACCAGAAGAACACAAGTGTTTAATAGAAGATAAGAAAGATATTTCCAACAAATGAAGAAATTAAAAAGTGCAGGAATTAGCCAACAGAAGAGAAAAGCAAATCAATTACTAGATCAAAATAAAACTCATCAAAAGTTTTCAAGTTTAAATGTTTACCGGATTAGTTTCCAGTTTTTTTCGTCTTGATACTTATCAAGGAAGGGTCTCCAGAGCAAAACCAGAGACGCATCAAATCCTGGCACTGTTCGTTCAACCCCGAAGATGCCTTCAACTCAGTTTTTCAACAAGTGGTGGTGGGGAAATAGTTTCTGGGCTTGCACCCGATTTTCCCTGCGCTGCCAGGAAGTCATGCCTTAACTGTAAAACACGAAAAAAAAACGGAAGGAAAAAAAATGGGGGACGGAAGGGAAGGAGGGTGACTGAAAAGATGAACAAGAACGTCAACAACTGCCACCGCGCAGGTGTTTCCAGACCCGCTTTAGAGCCAACTCCGCGCTGCGAACGCGACTCCAGCGTTCGCCCTGACACTTCCCTTCCCCGGGTCCTCCCCGGAGGTCCGCCCGCCGGGCGCCTCCTCAGGCTCCCCAGGCCCCGAGGTCCGGGCGGGGGCGGGGAAACGCCGGGGCGCGGGACGTTCGCGGCGCCCGGGCTCCCCTCTCCGGCGCCGAGCCCAGCACGCCGGCGCCCCGCCGTCCCGACCACGCTGGCCGGGCAGGGCCGAGTCCCAGGTGCCAGCTGTGGGCCCGGGAACTCGACGGCCGAGTTGGCGGCAGTCTCGAGGGAGGCGGCGGCAGGCGCCCGGCGGAGGCGGCCGCTGTCAGGCTTCCCGTCTCCTCCCTCTTCCTCCCGCCGACAACTGTGCCCCGGCCCCGCCCCCGGTTCCAGCTTCAGGACGGAAGGCCCCGGGCCCAGAGCCCGCACCAACGGCCGGGCCCACCTTCGGCCTCCCTAGCTCCTTGGTACCGTAGGATCGAGGCCGCCGTTAGGGGAAGTGGCCAAGGCTCGGCCGGAAAGGAAAAGAGGAGGAAGAAAGAAGAGCAAGGAACAAGGCAGGAGGAAGCTCCGTAGCTGCCGCCGTCGCCGCCGTTGCCCGATCGAGCCCCGCGGCGGCCGCCGTGTCCCCCGCCGCGCCCCGTCCGCCTGCACCGCCTATGGCAAAGCCCGTAGGCGGGCCCCAGCAACCGCCGAGCAGCATTGACCAACAGATGGCCGGTCTATCAAACAGACTGCTGATTTAACCAATAGTAGTGGAAGGGCGGGCATGAGCATGATTGGCAGCTATCGTTTTCCAATAAAAACTGGGGGCGTGGGTGGGCGGAGCCGGAAGTAGAGCCCAGCCGAGAGGCCCCTGTCCGGCTAGGGAGGAGGGAAGGGGGAGGGAACTAGAGAGGAGGAGGAGGTTAGCCTAGGCAGCTACAGCGGCGGCGGCGCAGGGCTGGTACGCGCTGGGCGGCGAGAGCCTCATGGCGGAGGAAGAGAGCGATCAAGAGGCCGAACGCCTCGGAGAAGAGCTCGTGGCCATTGTGGAGTCCCCGCTGGGCCCTGTGGGGCTTAGAGCTGCGGGCGACGGCAGAGGCGGCGCTGGCAGCGGCGGCTGCGGCGCCGGCGTCGGGATCAGCAGTCGGGATTACTGCCGACGCTTCTGTCAGGTGAGGCGCCCGTTGGTCGCCCCGACTTGTCACCCGGGTCCTGGGCCTCTCTGCGCTTCCCGGCCTGCTCGTCCGTGAATCTGGGGTCTGTCCGGCGCCCGATCTTCTAGCCCAGCAAGGCGGGTGAGGGGGGAGCTCCCTCCTCCACCTAGCCGGCAGGGGGTGGGGGGCGGGGAGCGAGGCGAGGGTGCCTCGCGGGCGCGGGGTGGGTCGGAAAGTGAGAGTCGGTCGGGGATGCGGGAGCGGGAAGCCGGAAGGTCGGCGGTCCGGGGAGCTCCGTCCCGACGCGCCTGCCCGGCCCCGGCAGACCTTCCTGCCCGAGTCCCGCCTTCCTCACGCCTCCCACCTGGGTCCTGCGCACCGCGCCTGGCAGCGCTGGTAACACGTTCCGCCTTCCCTTCTCTGCCGCTGGCCCCCCGCTCTCCCGTTTTTTCCGGGGTGGGAGACATGCCATCTTTCCTGTCACTGCCACCGCTCCCCCTCTTCTGGGGTCGCCTGTCATCCGCTCACAAAAGCCCGCTGGGCCGGTTCTCTCGGTGGCACAGACGCTGGCCCACGGTGACTTCGTTACTTTTTTTCGGATGGAGGGTGCGTTAAGGCAGTGTGATTGTCATCTTTTTTTAAAAAAACCTCCTTCCGTTGACACACGCACTCTTTTCTAATTAACTGCTTATAATGAGTAATTTTCCTTAAACTTGCTCCGGTTAACATCACCACCACCCCCATCCTTCAATTTATAGCGTATTTTATTCAGCCTGTAAAACACAGTGTCTGAACGGTGACATTAAATTATTTACTCAGTCGACTCTCACAGGGGTTCGATGTTGTTCGAAGTGTTAGTGATCAAATATAGCAATATACCCCCTGCTTGTTTAGGGGTGAAGTTTGTATATGCTGCATTCTTACCTAGTTGCATTTATACTTTAAACGTTTTGTTCCCTTTCACAGCAGTCTTTCCTAAATAGTTTTGCAAGCTATTTAGGAAAAACAACAAAAACAATTAACTGCTCATTTTCCATCCCGCCCCTTTTTAAATGTGTCTATTATTTTGGATGTACGGGGTTCAAATTCTGGCCCCACCATCTCCTAGCTGAATTTATTACCTTGGACAAGTTACTCCGTGTCTCTGTTTTCCCTTTTGTCAAAGAGGAGTAATAGTTAAATTGTGTGAAGGGTTTAGATCAGGTAGCTATTAATTTCATTCTGATAACAAGTAGGAAATAAAGTTAATGAGAAGTGGACATCATGTTTGCTGACATTTCTTTCAGTGCTTGTACGAGGAATTTCTTTCAGTGCTTGTAAGGGAATGCTTTTAAGAATTCCCTTACAAGCATTGAAAGAAAAAGGATGGAGTTGACATTTTTTGAACACAAGTTGAATTTACATTCAGGTAAGTTTTTAATGTTTTAATTTAAATTGCCTTTTGATTTCATGTTTTTCCCGTGTCACAAAGATGGAAGGGTGTGTCAGTTTCTTTGGCATTGCTTAATTGATGACTTCCTTGAAAATATATTTTTATTTTGATAATTGGCATTCACTGAATTTAGAGGTTCAGTGTCTTGTTTTCATAGCACTTGTTTTCTAACTATGCCTTTTACATATAGAAACCATGCTATATGGTAGATTTTTGTATCTGTTGGAATTTTAAACTTTGGAAAATTAGTATACAATTTATGTTTTTAATATATTCAGAGGCTGAAAAATCTCTTTAATTTTTTGTTTTGCTTTTTATGCCATTAACAAGCAACTAAAATTTTAGAACAAATGACAAATTTAGCCTGCAAAACAATGTCTGAATAGTGACAGTACAATATTTTAAGAACAAATGAAGTTGACTATTTTATGACTTCCCTACCTCCTGTATATCCAAGGAAATAAAACTAAACAGGAAGAACTTAATGAACTTATATTTTCTATTGCTAAATTATGTTTAGACTGACATACTTTCATGTTAACAACTTTTACCTGAAACAGTTTATTACTGGAAACTTTACATATTTTATAATACTTTAGATTACTGGTAGATCTGCTCTTAGGTGAGCTGTGTGAAGTCCTTTCTTATATTAAAACTTTTAGATGGAATAAAATACTCCTTTATTTAGTTGAATTTTATCTACTGAGAAATAAAATTCTACCATAGTAATTGCTTTATTTGCCAGTAAGGGAAGCAGGGGTTTATTTAATTCCTAGTTGAAGATTTCTTTTTAAAATTTTGGTTTTCTGACACTTACTGAGGCTAATATTAAGTATAATAATTTGTATTTATTAGTAAATGACTTAATTGTGAGTAATGAAATGGACATGTGCACTTGGGGTATGTGACAGTTAACTACATACATGAATTACACAGATAGCTTAGTGGTGTTTCAAAGAAAGACTCCAGTTTATCTTCCTCTTTTTAGAGGGAAATATGAATCAGAATTTCTTGGCAGTTAGTTGTGTAGGCAAAGTGAGAGAGGAAGGCACACTTCTTTTCCAGAGAGGTTTTTTTGGTCTTATATCATAAGGAAAAGTAAAACAGAAGATACAGTGTAATGTTGGACTGGCCCTGTCACATCCTCCCTTGGCTCTTGTTAGCTGACTCAATAAATGCTTAAATAAAATTGGCCCTTAACTGATACTTAATTTGCTTTGAGGAGGAAAGGTAACTTTTATGGGGAAAGTAACTTTTATGGAAGGCCTACTAGCTCTTAAGCTTCAGACAGCAAGTTACATAGTTGAAATTGAGGCCTGAACAAGTTAATGTGTCTTAGTTTCCACTATGTAGACATGCTGGGATTTGAATTTAGTCTTCAGTTTCTGCTGAAAAGCAGATTGAAATTATAAGTAAATGCTCAATTATAGAGGGTTTTTTTTTTTTTTTTTTTGCAAGTGATGTGAAAGGAAAAAGAAGTTACTGGAAGTAACTTGGTATCATGGATGAAAAGTTTATAAAGTACTCTTTCATTATGACACAGTAGTAAAAAATATTTCAAGAAGCAGACTGTTATTGTCTGATTTGTTCAGTGCTGTAAACACTTCTCTAATTCCTGATAGTTTTAGTGATTCAATTTATTTTGTCACCAAATACATTAAATTTTTTTTTGTCATAAATTGATTGCAAATTAAGGAAGTTAAGACACTTTCTTCTTAGTTCAGTCCCAGAATGAACATGACTAATAAAAAAGGATTTCTGTAACCACTTTGATATATTGATTAAAATATAATTTAAAATTATTATACACTGTAATAGGGTTAATATTCATGCTGTGAGGATGTCATGAATGTAAAAAGAGAGAATGAACATAAAGTACTTAGTATTGTACCTAGCACAGAGATAGAACTTAAATAGGTAGATGCTATTAATATTTCTCTCTTGTAAAATCCTCTGAGGATTTAAAAGGGACATTAGAGATAATCTGTAAGTAGCTTATAATTTGTTTTGCACTAAACTTTAGAGAAACTTTAGAAATTCTTAAATTCTTTTATTTAACTAGAAAAGTTGAATGTTCCTGGCGAAGCACAACGATTTATAAAACAACAATGGCAGGGGTTTGTAAGATCTCTATGGCATGGGTTCTCAGAGATCTTGTTTCCCATAGGGGACATTTGGCAATTTCAGGAGAGTTTTGATTGTCATGTCTCTTTAATTTTTATTAATGTACATAGTTTGAAGAAGTCATATAAGGCCTAAATACCAGGAATTGCATTTTGCTGCTAATGGAGACCTAAGTGGCTTAAACAAGGTGGGCATTTATTTCCCCTATAAAATGACTCACTTTCATCTCGTTTGTTATCCTCATCTGAAAAGAATGTTAGGGTCTGGGCCCGGTGGCTCACACCCATAATCCCAGCACTTTGGGAAGCCGAGATGGGCCGGATTACTAGGTCAGCAGGAGTTTGAGACCAGTCTGACCAACACGGTGAAACCCCATCTCTATTAAAAAATATAAAAATTAGCCGGACGTGATGGCATGCTTGCCTGTGACCCCAGCTACTCGGAGGCTGAGGCAGGAGAATTGCTTGAACCTGGCGGCGGAGTTTGCATCAGTGAGCCGAGATTACACCACTGCACTCCTGCCTGGGAGACAAAGCTAGACTCCATTTCAAAAAAAAAAAAAAAAAGAAAAAGAAAAGAAAAGAAGGTTAGGAAATTTTCCAAATTTTTGTTTCTTGATCAACACGTGCCTGCCTATGATTTTGTCAGTAAGGAAGAAAACATAAATGGATATTGAAGAAAACAATTTTTTTTTTTTTTTTTTTTGCGACAGCTATAACCAAAAATAGCAGTCATGCCCTGTTCCCTTCCTTTCCTGTGTCTTCTTCTCCAGAAGCTATCACTGGCAACTCTTTGAGTTTTCATATTTACCTCCGTATTTTGAAGTATTTGTTTCCCTAGTTGTTTTAGATGGAATCAGTTGACCTGCTGCAGGAAGGAGATAGGGACTCCCTGACCGTCTCACTGTTGAGCTCATTACTGAGCATGTTCACGTGTTCTCTTTGATTATACCCCATTTTTTGTTTATCCCCTTTTTCCCCCTACCCTCTTTGTGTCCATATATTCAGTCTCTTTAGAGACTTAGCAGTGAGTTTTCATTGTTTTGTTAGGGGAGGGCTCTGGGAGAGATTTTGAACTGACCTTTTTGTTTCTGACTCTGTTTTCACGTCTTCTTTTGAAGGTATGTGGTGCCTCAAATACCTGAAATTTTCTGGGGTTCTGGGGTTGATTCAAGTACACATCATCTTGTTCCCAAACTCCCTCTACTGATGGCTTGGCTTCAGTTTCTTAGGTTTGTTAAGTCAGTTACCACCCATCCATCTAATTTCCAACTACCCATATGTAGATATCTCTCCAATTCCTTTGTCCTGTGAGTTTAGCTCTTTTAAAACACAAATATTTTTATTGTTATTTTAGTGGAGTTTTCAAGTAGGATGAGATGTAAATGTATGTTCAATCTGTCACATTTAACTAGAAGTCTCAAATTAGTTTTCTAGCTCAGTAAATAATAGTATAAAAGATGAAAAGGAAAGTATTGAAAATAATTTGCAGTCATTTATTTACTTTTGAAAAAGAGTATCCTATTTTATGATCTATTCTGTAGTGAATATGCAGAGCTAGAAATAATTTAATTGCAT